GCTTATACTACAGCTGGATAGTCAGGGAGGCCAGGAAAAACCTGCAATACAGGCAACCTGAATGGGGCCAAGACAATTAACCAGCAGCTTCCCCACAAAGCTTCTATGTTACAACTTCTCAATAGGAGCGTTGGTAACGCGACAAACATAGCTCTATCTTGGCAATTTTTTTTTTATTTTAATTTTTTTTAAATTAATTTATTCTTTCACTCAGTTTTAAGTGTTTTTGAAGAGACCCTATATTTGCCGAACTCTTTGTCTATCCAAATTGTTTGCTTGGTGAAGTAACTAATTAATTAAGCATAGAGAGATTAGAGGATTAGAGCGTTAATTTCCAGTTGAGACATAAATCTTGGAATAGAGCCTATGTTGGCATAAAACTTTATTACACTTCCCGAATGAGAAAGTTTATTATTAAAATACCGTTTGTCTGTTTTCCGGTCGAGAAAACGATGGTGAAATGGCAGTCGCGTTTAATGCAGTGGACGATAACAGACAGAACATATTTTTGACTTTTTTGTTTAATATTGTTGCAGTTTGCTTGAAATTTTCAACGTATCATAAAGGAAAGTATTCGTATAATACAGTTTCTTGGTTTATTCGGTATTGCATTGGTTGGGTCCTCGCCTGTCTACACTACAGACCAGTTTTGAATTATTTGAAATCCTTAGTTTTATTATACAGATATGAAATTGGCAACAATGTTGATTGTTTATACTGTTTATCATTGTGTTTCCCTCCCAGATCGAAAGCGTTGCAATACTGATAAATAGAATATATATACACAGTGCCAGTCAGTGATCTTATTTTACCTTTCATTATAAACATATCCAAGCTTTTACAGTCTATATAAACTATAGACATAGTAAAACACACATGACATTTTATTGAATATTGAGTATTGTGTCTATTGAGTATTGACTGATTTTATATATCGGCATCGTGATTTTTAGAGTACAGTACATCGTCAATATATAGAACTGTCTCTACTGTATTTTCTTCAAGAAAAGAAAATTCAACCGCAACGCAAAACAACATTGAATTATTAAAGTATACTATGACGTATATAGATAGTAGCGCTATATAATTCTGATATTACAGCAATGGAGATGCCATGTAGCCTATCACTGTCTCCGTTTCATAGCTGGTCTAAATTGTATTGGTAGCAATAGCTAAATTTTTGCCCTCGAGAAAGAGCAATATTGCTGATGTGACTGCTCTCATATTCCAGGCATCACACTGTCGTTATTTTGAGGGAAGTGTGAACGCCTGAGCAGGCGTCTTGTTCCATTGAAAAGCACAAAGGCGTCAAAGGTTGACCAAACTCTGGGTACGAGGTTGGGTGGAAATTAAGTTCAAACTCAGTTGAAACAGAATTATAGCTAGATTATATAGTAATAGTATCTTATAGGTAAACAAACATAATATATGATATATAGTGCCAAATGGCAAATGTGTGTAAAAACTGACTTTCGAGTTATTATTTTAAATTAAAATGCTCCCAAATCATCCATCTACACAGCGTGGAAATTTATAATTACTATTTCTTGCATATATGGGCTCTCTTTCTAAGCCTTTGCTCAGTTATACGTTATGTAGTTCAAACCACTACTGGATTTTAACAAAAGGAATTATAAAATTAGGTTAGGATGAAAACGCATTCCCAATATACAATGAGTACTCTAACATTGATTGCGCTTAAACTTTGAACTTTGAGTCGATTCGAAGATCAAATTCACAGTGAAATATAACTCTATTGGATTACAAACAGAAAATATATCGTTCTGGCAAATGTTAGCCTATGCCAGAATTTTATACCAGATCGAATTTTACAATTTTTTGCTTGGTTTTAAACGAAATCTGAAGCAAACTTTTACTTACGATACCCGTAATTGACAAGCGCGCAAACATGATATGATATTGCATACGGACCAGCTGTAGTGCGCTTGGCGACTCGTTCTTTTATAATTCCCCAGCGCCAGCTTCTGTTTCTGTTACTGCTAAACGTCGAATTGTCACTACTTGAACGAATCTGGCAACATATTCCTTTGACCATTGTCAATGAGAAAAATATAAAATACACATGCTTGCGCCGTTGAATACTGTTTGCCATAAGTTCATAACGTCTCACTTTAACCTACGCTACATATATCGTAATATCGATTCCAACATCAAATCCATCTTTGTAGTGTTAAATCGTGTTATTTAATTCTTGCGATGCCCCGCGCAATTCTTGATCATCCGAGGTAGTTAAATTTTCAATTCGCCCGCGGTTTATCTGAAAATGTTACAGTAGCTTTGGAACATTACTTTGTTAAAACAAGTGATCTCTTTCAGGTGTATTTGGTCTATTTTACCAGCTTAACCGAATTATGATTGGTTACATGTTTTGATGCCATCAAAGATATATTTCGATTGGCTGAAAGATAATTGGTCATGAGATGTGCATGTGTACGCTTTGCCAATACAAAGATGACCTTTGATACAAATGACAGCTGCGGGTCTGTGACCTTTGTACCGCACGCAAAATATTCAAATCGATTGTCATATAAATTAGACTAAATTTGTGGACAGCATTGCCTATTAGCTTAAATTTATAATATATATAAATTAGGTTAACTATATAACAAATGTAAGTTATTTACCGTTGAGTGGGGAAAACGCGCGTACGGCTGTACTCGAAGTTTTTAAGTCTTTCGAGACCGAGTTAAAATAACGTGTGTTTTGTAGTGGATGCAAACTATACTGAATAAAATTTATTAAAATTATTATACCATATAATGCATGTTACCACTATAAAGCGAGCATGATAAAGCTTGAAAAGTTGAAAGACAAACACGAATGCGGAAGCTCGAGAAAATTGGCAGGAAACGCACAAAAAGAACATGTGATTTAAATTTTTAATTGTACATGCATGTTTTCATCGAGAAAAGGATAGTAAAAAATAATAAGAATAAAGATCGAGCTTCGGTCTGGCATTTCAATTCAGCGTTGACAATTCAGACTTTAGTATATTGCTTAATTCAGCAAGGACAAATTAACGTTTGACATTTGCTTTGCCAATCAGCCGGCAAAAACACATATATTATAAGGGGTCATGCGTCCATATTCAAGTTGCCACACAATTTGAAAACTATATAATTCTGTGACGTTTTCACCAAAAATACTTTTTACGATTTTATTTGATAGGTCTCCAATACTCTCTCCTCCGCAGAGGCTTTTAAAGAATATGAAATTCGAAGGAATTGAAATTAAATTCGAAGGAATTGAAATTGCGCTAGAAGGTATCTGGTATGAAGACAACCGCTGAGAATTGTCTTCATACCAGATACCTTCTAGCGCAATTTCAATTCCTTCGAATTTAATTTCAATTCCTTCGAATTTCATATTCTTTAAAAGCCTCTGCGGAGGAGAGAGTCTCCAATAGGTCTTCCATTAAATGACTTCGGTAATGATAGATAAACTCCCGCGCTTATACACTCGCGTTAGGCCTATACCTGGGATGCTGTTTTCTAAAAATAAAATTTATTCCGACATCTATTTAAACTGTATATTTCAAATCAATTTCGATTGAAAATCAATAGAAAATGTAGTGTTTATAAAAGGCTGCGAGGAATTGTGGACAATTAGAAAAATAAAGGCGAGGGGTTGCTGCATGCGTGTACGTATTTCTAGTTATTAGTATAACACTATCGTTTCGTCGCCGTATTCTATTGCGAATTAAACTCTTTGACAGTTTTATGATATTTTTATTATTTCTATATGAGTTATACATGACCATTGTATTGTTGTATTATTGACGGGTATATGCCGATTTTATTCGAGAGAAGTCCGTTAAAAGAGTCGACGTTATAGTTTACGGCTATATGGCGAGTCCTTCCTCCCTTATTTCAAGGATGGTTATAGGCGGGCGCGGGCAAAGGCTGGATGCATGCGGGCTATACAAGCAGCGCCTACTTGGGTATTTTGGCCTGTAGAATCGATTTCCGGTGTTTTCAGAGTCCTAGGATACAAATGTCCGATAGTTTTGCGCTACGAACTGACTAATAAGATTATTTACATGCAGTGGTATATATATATATATATATATATTGTATGCCCATTTTTGGGGGGAGGGACATTCAGGTCTAAGTGATTTTTTAGTGCAGGTTATTGACGTCACGGACGTTAATAAGCCCACTGAGAGGGAGAGCTTTTGGATTGAGAAACTAAATAGTTATGTCCCACGTGGGCTTAATTTAAGGGAAGAGGTTTAATTAATTTATGCATAGCTAAACGTTAGACTATTTAAGCAAGAGACGGAGATGATGTAGCGTTATTCTGAAGAAGGGGCTTGTCCCCGAAACGTAAAAATATAATTTATTTACTTTGAAGATTTATGATTTCTTGATATTTATATATATATATATATATATATATATATATATATATATATATATATATATATATATATATATATATATATATATATATATATATATATATATATATATATATATATATATATATATATTTGTGGTTTACAGGCATGAACTATTATACAAATAATGAATGTTTATGAGTGCAATGGTAAGAATATTTTCATGAGGTGAAAGATGGAATGTTCCATTCAACGAGGCGACAGCCGAGTTGAATGGAACATTTCATCTTTCACCGAATGAAAATATTCTTGCCATTGCACGAAAAAAATTCATTATTTGTTTTATATAATACCAAAATAGACTAATAGATTCGTATGCGAGAAGCATTTGTGAGGGATGCGATTTATCGAAAACACAAAGAGTGCAATTGTACTATACGTTTTATTCCATTGCACTCGCAGAGAGTGCAATGGAACGTATTCCATTGCACTCTTGGGAAATGGAATTTTCTATTCAATATCACGTGACCATAAACAGCCAATTAAACGATCAGAATTCAATAAGGTATTATATAATATAAACTATAGCCGTTGAGAACGACCATATGGAAACCAGGCTTAACTAGGAAACAAAGGCAAAATCTCACTAATCATTATATGAATCATTATTACATTAATCGCTTTTGAGTAAAAATCTCGTCATGGTCATTAAACATGCATGTGACCAAACCATCACCATTCGCAAATGTTATATAGATTTAATTTTATACATAAAATCAAAACACTGCGCTGTAGTTTATTATGTCTTCGATTCACGTTGGTACCTTCAAACCTGCATGTTATAATTTCGTAGAAACAGGACAGGCTGTACAACAGCCACAAAATAATTGGCAATGTTCAATGGTTCAAAGTTCAAATGTTTCCGCGAGCACGTGTAATCTGAATGAAAGACAACTGAATAATACTAATTTATCAAAAACAAACACGCAGAGCAAAGTTCAAAATGATAAGGGCTTTCCCTTAATTTAACAATCAACCATGCATGTCTTGTTAGAGAGAATGAAAATTTCGACCGACCCCCTCACCTGTTCATGTTCCTTGTGTCTGCAGCGACTGGTCTGGTGAACTGTATGCGTATACTACACACGTAAAAATCTCACATCTTGTAGCAAGTCTGCCAACAGGCCGTCAACAAGTTGTCTTCGCACTGCTTGTCCCAAGTCAACAAGTTTGGAACAAGCTGTTAACACAATTTGTAACAACCTTGTTGATATTATCAGACTTGTTACAAGGTTGTTCCAACAAGTCCGATGCAGACGCAGTCATGATATAACAATATTGTTACAACCTTGTGTCGTCAACCTTGTAACATTCTTGTTATATCGTGACTGTATCAGACTTGTTAGAACAACCTTGTAACAAGTCTGATGGTGCCATCAAGCTTGTTACAAGTTGTTAACAGCTTGTTCCAAACTTGTTACAACAACTGGGAACAAGCAGTGCGAAGACAACTTGTTGACAGCTTGTGAACAGATTTGTAACCACTTGTTTGCAGACCTGTAACAACTTGTGCGTTTTTACGTGTGTAACTGATGAGGACTATTAATTAAACAAGGACTATCGAATAATTTTCTCATTGGACATCATTGCTATGTAAATACTTAAATTTGATTTGAAGTGTTCCCAATGGTCAACTTCAGGCCCATAGTGCAAATATAATCAGTCGAATAGCAGGTACTGTCCAAGGGGATTATCACCCCTTGGGCTTGGTAATCTTGGTTCAGGTCTATGTCAGGAGGGGGGCATTCAATCTCTCCTAGCAGGTCTTATATATACCTAACCTGAATTTCAGACAGTCACTCCATCGAGTGACCGTCTGAAATTCAGGCTAATATGTATATACCCCGAAGTTCCGAACGAACATAATTTGAAGTTACGCGGCAGTACAGTGAGGCTTAAAGTGGTGCATGGCACTGATTGTTACGTATACTGGTGACCCTGGCGGTAAACGGGGGTCAGGTCAAAGTCAGCTTTCCGTGCATGACTGTCGTGATAGGTATAGCGATATAATTATCTCTACAATCAGTTCAGATTATTGTCTATTTTGCATCGTCGAACACGACTTGGTCAAGACAGTTACGACCAAATCGAAACCAAGCTTTATGGACAAACATTCCCACCAATTTTTGGTTTAGACTATCTATATGGTTTACTAAGAATCATGCACAATAGCAAGCATATCAATGGTATATCAAGGAAAATATTTTACATTACAGATTATAATTACATTAACGTCAAATAGCTTTGTAGCATAACTGTGCATTGATCCATGCAGATGACTGAAAAGAGCTTTTCAAAAGCCTCTGCATGTGTTAATAGACCTAAACAAAGTATGCATAATCATAATACTATTATGGCAGCCTACTGTACTTCTGCTTTTAATCACCAAAACTAGAGCTTTCGAAATCATATTAAGCCTCGTATACACAATTAAGTAAAAGATCATCAAATCTGTTTTACAAATATTGAGTATCTTAAACGAATGCTATATAAAGGATACGCAAGATTAAGTCGAATACTGGTAATTATTAGCATTATTAGTATGGTAATGAATTTCCTGTATAGTTCAAGTGCATGTCACATAGTACCATTGAAGTGCATCAGTCAACGTAGATCAATTTAGCAACTGCTAGTTGACGAGAGCGGCAATGTTTCCCCTTCTCTACACAGTGGTTGTCAGCCTGTGCGGTACGGCAATTTTCGTTTCCATATTTGCTGCAAGACAGAGGAAGCACAAGCGTGAAGCGTTTAAGAAGCAAGAAAAGAACGAATTTGCCAGCAACGGAACGAAATGGAACGACAGTCAGCAGGAATATTACGTGGAGAAATTTTACGAGACAGGCTTGACCGGCACGCACGAATACCATGGAGGCTACCTGAATTTTGGCTACTGGAAAGATGCAAACGACAATTACGTTACAGCAAGCGAACAACTGCTGTCCCAAGTCGCAGATCCAGTTCAACTTAATGAGAACAGTCGCTTGTTAGACGTTGCCAATGGCATGGGGGCACAGGATATATTTTACTTCAATAAATACAAACCGAAGCACATCGATATGATTGACGTGACACTAAGTCATCATTTAATTTGCAAGAAACGTGTAGAGGACGAAAGCCTAACAGAACGCCTCACAGCTCACTATGGTAGTGCTACCGATCTACCTTTCTCAGATAACTCGTTTACTCATGTATTTTCTATAGAGGGTGGTGTCCACTACAGGACGCGACGCGACTTCTTAAAGGAAGCTTACCGGGTGCTCGAGCCAAACGGTTGGTTGTCTTTAGCTGATTATGCAAATCCCAGGTTACCTAAGAATTGGATTGAGTCCAAGTTGTCTGACCTTTGCGCCTACTTGTGGAACATGCCCAAAGAAAATATTTGTTCCTGTGAAGAGCTGAAAAAGTACATGGAAGAAGCTGGTCTTGTCGATGTTGTTGTGAAAGATGTGGGAGAGTTCTGTATTCCCGGCTACTGTGATGAGTCATTGCGTCCTGAAATGCTTGCTGAGCTGAGAAAGGTTCGAGGTTGGTTTGCCACATATGTAAGTGGGCGTATCATTGATGAGTTAATCCGCTATGTTTACAACCACGACATGTTGACCGAAGTCATTGCATACGGTAGAAAACCTCATAATAACAATATTTCTTAGAATGGATAGTTTTAGAAATAATTTTTGAACATTGAAATATAGATTGGAGTGTAGTAATGTACTTAAAATATGGGTTGCTTGTACATTTACACTTGTAATTGAGTTCATCGGATTTTTCAAAAAGTTTAATTTTTATGGCATAGGAATGCATTTGTGACGTAGGTAAAAAATGACCTCACGAAGCGATACGGTCATATCCAGCTGGGGCCGATTGTATAAAAAAGTGATTAAAGTTAACTATAGTTAGTGGAAACGTCATCCAATAAAAAGCGCGTATTTGAGAGTTAATCACTATTTAACTACAAAATAGTGATTAAAAAAGTGATTAAGAGTTTTATACAACGGCTCCTGGTTATTTCAGCAGCGAACGAAAAAGAGTTAACTACTTTTTAACTGCAGTTAGCGCTAACTACGTTTTTATACAACCGGCCCCTGCTCTATTAATTAACTCGACCTGCAAAGGGACTTTAGATAGTCTAATACAGTAACAGGAATATATCGTTTGTCTCTCTATTTAATTATTTAAAACTAGGTTTTACTAGGTGGAAGTTCTAATTTGTGGGAAATTTGGGAGTTAACCAAAATTACGTTTGATGTTTAGTTTGAATTAACTGGGTTGCTACTTGACATTCCATAACATATTAATTGTTGATATTATTATTGAATAATTTTTGGAAATGATCAGATGAATATCTTGAATAAAAAACGTACTATTAATTAACAAGAATCTAAAGAATGTGTATCGTTTAAGCCCCGTTTACACGAGCAAATTTTATTTGACAAATTTCATATGTCAAAGATATTTTGCTCGTGTAGATGATAAATTTGTGACAAATTTATTGTGACAAATGCATTTGAACAAAAGCTAGCATGATAGCTTTTGATCAAATGCATTTGATCAAATGAAATTTGTCAAATAAAATTTGCTCGTGTAAACGATATCTTCCAACACAGACCAATTCTGAATCATTATTAAGTGATTTATTAAGTCGATCTTTAAAGTCAATAATCTGTGTCGTCGAATTATGAATTGTTTCAAAGCCTAAGAGTAAGAGTTGACGGGGGCCACCGCTAGCTGAGACCAGCTCTAGTACTTGAGTGCTCTCCCAACTTCTCAAGAGCTCGATAGCTCGTTTTAGCGCGCCAAATCACGAAAATATTCTTTATCATATTATCGAAATACATTTTTTCTCCTTGATGAAATTTCAATTTCTCCTTACACAAGCAAAATAATAAAACGTTTCTGATTGGTCGCTTGAAAATCGGCTGATCGCACTTTGTACTTTGAGAGACCACGGTGCCATTATGCCTGGAGATATTCAAACCAAATTACAATGTTGCTCAAATCACACCCAAAGTCCAAACTAGCCTATTGATTGCGAATCAAGACATGATGATAAGTAGACCTTGTAATGGAGTACAGTAACACCTTTAATTAAGCAAAACATCCACGGACATAACAAGTAGAAGCTATCCTACCCAGCTACACCCCCCCCCCCCCCCCCCCCCCCCCCCAAAACCCCAAT